CAAACACTCCATCTGTCATCGGTCAGTCAAACAGGAAGCCCCGCCCCTAACCCACGTGATTGGCCGAGACAGAAGTTGACCTGACCTGCTTAAACAAACAGAACAATTTGGTGAAATGGCAGTGTTACTAATGACTGACTTACATTGACTCTGAACATCAAACTCACACAAACATGTTTCAAGAATGTAACAAAATACACAAGAGATTTACTGAAGTGTTTTGGAAAAAGAGACGCATCAAGAGGCTTGTTATGAGCAGAATGTTTTACGACTCAAAAACACACATCAATCCTCCAGCGGAACCGTGTCTGCGGAGCTCAGTGGTAATTATAACCTTTTCTTCATGTCACTCCCTGTTGCTCAAGCCCAACTCTCATGAGGATCGGCTTGTTTGTGCCGTTTATAGAAATCATAACAGACTCAGATCTGCTCATGAATATATTCTGACAGATTTTAGCACAAACTGAGACGTCATTTGTACTCGTGATCTGTTTGTTTCTTGTTAAATCTGCTAACGTCACGAGACACTGACTGCGGTTCCAGATGTAGAAGCAGGTGTGCTCCTGGATCATGATGTCATTTCCTGCGGGAACATTCAGACCTCAGAGCATTCAGAGAATGGGATGTGATACAAGCTTGTTTGTTCTGCACAGCATCACATCATTCTGGATGACCGCAAATATTTTGGACCAAACCTCCGCACACAAACACACTCACACATTCTCACACAAACACACACTTACACTCTCACACACACACACTCACTAGGCTACATAGATTAGGTCAGCCAGAACCGGGAACACTTCCTATCACACCTAATGTACTCGCTACATCATAATAAGAACGGCATCTACGCTAATGTTAGTCTATCCAGATCAGATGGAGGACCTGCGCCTAGACACGACCACAACACATGATGTAGTCAGCCGGATCCGGACCGTATCCAGATCAGATGGAGGACCTGCGCCTAGACACGACCACAACACATGATGTAGTAAGCCGGATCTGGGCCGTATCCAGATCAGATGGAGGACCTGCGCCTAGACACGCCCACAACACATGATGTAGTCAGCCGGATCCGGGCCGTATCCAGATCAGATGGAGGACCTGCGCCTAGACACGACCACAACGCATGACGTAGTCAGCCGGATCTGGGCCGTATCCAGATCAGATGGAGGACCTGCGCCTAGACACGACCACAACACATGATGTAGTCAGCCGGATCCGGGCCGTATCCAGATCAGATGGTGGACCTGCGCCTAGACACGACCACAACACATGATGTAGTCAGCCGGATCTGGGCCATAGCCAGATCAGATGGAGGACCAGCGCCTAGACACGACCACAACACATGATGTAGTCAGCCGGATCCGGGCCATATCCAGATCAGATGGTGGACCTGCGCCTAGACACGACCACAACACATGATGTAGTCAGCCGGATCTGGGCCGTATCCAGATCAGATGGAGGACCTGCGCCTAGACACGACCACAACACATGACTTAGTCAGCCGGATCTGGGCCGTATCCAGATCAGATGGAGGACCTGCGCCTAGACACGACCACAACGCATGACGTAGTCAGCCGGATCTGGGCCGTATCCAGATCAGATGGAGGACCTGCGCCTAGACACGACCACAACTTATGACGTAGTCAGCCGGATCTGGGCCGTATCCAGATCAGATGGAGGACCTGCGCCTAGACACGACCACAACACATGATGTAGTCAGCCGGATCCGGGCCGTATCCAGATCAGATGGAGGACCTGCGCCTAGACACGACCACAACGCATGATGTAGTCAGCCGGATCCGGGCCGTATCCAGATCAGATGGAGGACCTGCGCCTAGACACGACCACAACACATGATGTAGTCAGCCGGATCCGGGCCGTATCCAGATCAGATGGAGGACCTGCGCCTAGACACGACCACAACACATGATGTAGTCAGCCGGATCCGGGCCGTATCCAGATCAGATGGAGGACCTGCGCCTAGACACGACCACAACGCATGACGTAGTCAGCCGGATCTGGGCCGTATCCAGATCAGATGGAGGACCTGCGCCTAGACACGACCACAACACATGATGTAGTCAGCCGGATCCGGGCCGTATCCAGATCAGATGGTGGACCTGCGCCTAGACACGACCACAACACATGATGTAGTCAGCCGGATCTGGGCCATAGCCAGATCAGATGGAGGACCAGCGCCTAGACACGACCACAACACATGATGTAGTCAGCCGGATCCGGGCCATATCCAGATCAGATGGTGGACCTGCGCCTAGACACGACCACAACACATGATGTAGTCAGCCGGATCTGGGCCGTATCCAGATCAGATGGAGGACCTGCGCCTAGACACGACCACAACACAT